CCGGCACGGGGCGTGGCCTGCAGGGAGGGGCGTGGCCTGCACAGGGCCGGTGCTTTACCCACCTGGAACATGCAGGCCGTGAAGGGAATGAGGAAAGCCAGGATGTTCCCAATCTCCTCGGGGGTGACCTGAAACCAGGATGAGGGCAGGTGGGAGGCCGTAATGCTATTTCACTCCAGCTGGCCAGGCCTGGCAGCAGAGGCACCCGCCTGTCACCCCAGCTCTCAGGAGGCTGAGATCTAGAGGATCGTGGTTCAAAGCCAGCCCAGGAGGAAAGACTGTGACACATCACTAAAAAGCCAGAAGTGGTGCTGTGGCTCAAGTGGTAGAGCACCAGCCTTGACAAAAGCTCAGGGAGTCAGGTGCCAGTGGTTCACGCCTATAATCCTAGCCACTCAGGAGGCTGAGATTTGAGGAATGTGATTCAAAGCCAGCCCAGGCAGGAAAGTCCATGAGAATCTGATCTCCAATAAACCACCAGAAAAGCAGAAATGGCACTGTGGCTCAAGTGGTAGAACGCTAGCCTTGAGCTGAAGAGCTGAGGGATAGCGCCCAGGCCCAGAGTTCAAGCCCCACAACTGACCAAAAACAAAAACAAAAAACTTCCTCTTGAGCTGGGCACCAGTGTCTCAACGCCTGTTATCCCAACAACTGAGGAAGTTGAGATCCGAGGATCTCAGTTCAAAGCCAGCCTGGGCTCCCCACCCCCCCCCCCAAAAAAAAAGTCTGAGATTCAGTCTCCAATTAACCAGCAAAAAGCAGGGCTGGAGGCATGACTCAGGTGGTAGGGTGCCAGCCGAGATCAAGAAAGCTGATCTGCACTACAAGGCTGTGAGTTCAAGTTCTGGTGCAAGCACACACAATCACCATCACCATCACCACCACAATGTAAAACCTGAGTTCACAATGACCTTATACTATAAAATGTGTCCCTGGAAAAGAGGGGGGTACCTGTACGGAGTGCTCTGCGAGGTGCACCCCGCGGATGAGGTTCAAGGCGGCACACATGATGTTCAGGACCAGAGAGAGGACGCCCAGAGCTGTCACAGGCTCCATTCGGAAATTAGGAGCTTCACAGTTGAAAAGAAAAGAAAACAGGTGAAAATAAGATACTATGCCATCAACTCAACCTCTGCTCGCAGCAGAAGCTCATGCTGGTGAAACACAGAACCACAAATATGCTCTTTTTTTTTTTTTTTTTGTCGGTCCTGGGGCTTGAACTCTGGGCCTGGGCGCTATCCCTCAGCTCTTCAGCTCAAGGCGAGCGCTCTACCACTTGAGCTACAGCGCCACTTCCGGTTTTCTGGTGGTTTATTGGAGATCAGAGTCTCACGGCCTTTCCTGCCCGGGCTGGCTTTGAACAGCGATCCTCAGATCTCAGCCTCCTGAGTAGCTAGGATTACAGGCGTGAGCCACCAGCGCCCGGCTAAATATGCTCATTTTTGCGGGGAGCTAGTCCTGGGGCTTGAACTCAGAGGACCTTGAACTCAGGACTCCCAACCAGCTTTCTTGATCACAGCTGGCACCCTACCACATGAACCACGCCTCCAGCCCTGCTTTTTGCTGGGTAATTGGAGACTGAATCTCACACATTTTTTTTTTTTTGGACCTGGGCTGGCTTTGAACTGTGATCCTCAGATCTCAGCCTCCTGAGTAGCTAGGACGACAGACATGAGCCACTCAACTAAGAAGCTCGGGGACATTGCTCGGGCCCTGAGTTTCAAGCCCCAGGACTGGCACTAAACTCCATTAGCCAATCTCCCCTTCCAAATAGGAGTGGCGGCTTACCTACGGGCAGCAGAGCCAGTGTTAGGAATATCCTGGATTGAAATAGAGAAAGCCAAAACACAAAGTAAAGTAAAAGAAAAAAAAAAAAAACAGGAAGTCTGTTTAGGTGCCAGTCCCGGGGCTTGAACTCAGGGACTTCTGCTCCTAGCTTAGCTTTTTCTGCTCAGGGCTGGTGTTTGACCACTTGAGCCACAGGTCCACTTCCAGCTCTCTGCTAGTTAACATCAGAGGTGGGCAGGTTTGTCTGCCCGAGGCTGGCTTTGAACCGCGATCCTCAGATCTCAGCCTCCTGAGCAGCTAGGATGACAGGCGTGAGCCACCGGCGCCGGGCTTCACATAAACATTTTTATTATACCACTTTGAAAGTGCAAGAAAGAAATTTAGTATGACAGAAAAACAAATGATTAGGGCTGGGAAGGTGGCTCAGTAGTAGAGTGCTTGCCTAGCATGCATGAGGCCCTGGGTTTGATTCCTCAGTACTACACAGAAAAAGCCAGAAGTGA